ATACTGTTATTTTGCATTGCTTTATAATGTATTGCTGGGATTTGTTGTCCTCTATAGATGATGGCATTCTGCATTAGAGTGTAAGCTCCTCTGTACAGAGACCGATATGACTGACTCAGTGTTCTCTGTACAGTACTATGGTATATGTCAGAGCTATATGAATGTAAAATAATAATAGTGTGTGATTGTGGGGGGACATTAGAGTGTAGGCTCCTTTAGTGCAGAGACAGCTGGGGAAGTTGGGGGGCCAGTGAAATCCAATTCCGGCACCTCCCCCTTGGGAGCAGGAAGGGGGGGCCCAAGAAAAAATCTTGCACCAGCGCCCTTTGTTCCTTAGGTCCGCCACTGATCAGAGAAGTCTTTAATGTTCAGTAAATCCACTTTGGCTCCCCTGCATATTATCTCAACAGTTATCTTCAGAGACAAACCATAGCACAGTATTTAACCTTTTCAGGATTCCTATCCCCTCCATACCTCATTGGCAGCTGTAGGAAGCAGAGGGCCAGCGCCCATTTGTTATCTCTGGTGGCACCCCAGAGGAATCTCAGATACAAAATACTCATCTAAACTAATTTGATCAATTTGACCATTGGTTTCGCTCTCTTCTAATAATGTAGTCAAATCACATGGGACCTTAAATTCATGTCTACTGTCTACTGCAACCACTAATAAGGGTGAATATCACCGGGCTCTACATGCTCTCTCAACAGAATAAACACTTACACAATTACAACAGAATCAAAAAATTACCTTCAAACCCTTAAACAAAGGAAAAAATACTGCCCTGGATAACATTAAATATAAAAGGATGTGCTGAAAGATTTTGAATAAGGAGGACGGGTACAAACATGTGTCAGCCTTTTTGGTCCAAAAACTTAATGCAAAATTCTATATGATTTTGTCCAGAGTATTTAAGTTAAATGTTATATCTAAACACACTAGGGAATACGTAGGTTTCCCACTGAGGATCACCTTTTATGCCGCAAAAAGCATAAAAATCTTCTCAATCCACCCACCAACCCGATAGTCTCAGGATCAGAAAGCATCACTGAACACTCCAGTAGAGTTGTGGATAAACATTTGATGGTGCATGTTAAATATTTAGTATCATACACAAAAGACACAATTAATTTTTTTACCAATTTCATAGGAATGTATCTGACTAAGCCTGACTCATGCTTTTACAGAAGGGAAGTCAAGTGGGCATATAATGCTTTCTTTTTTGAGATACTGTCAAATATCCTTCATCATACTTTTAGGGGCCTACTACCTCCAGATGAAGGGTGTAGTGATAGGCACTTGCTGTGCCCTGTCCTGCGCAAATCTGTGGGTGTGGGAATCTTTTGTGTTCCACGAGGAGACATTATCTATGTGCCTGTGTCATGTGTTGTCCTGGCACAGGTACTGTAAATTGATGCCATTTTTATTAAATGGGGTGGCTCATGTTGCTTGGAGTTCCTCAATGGAGGAATTTTATTACATGTTTAAACTCCAGTTAGTTACATAGTTAGTCAGGATGAAACAAGTCCATTGAGTTAAACCTATAGATAGATTATTAAAAAGAAAATAAAAAACCTGCATAAACAGAACCCTTGCTCACAGTTGATGCAGAGAAAGGCAAAAAAAAACCCTATAAAGTTCAAGCTCAACTTTACATACACTTGTGAAAAACACACCATTGCATTCCTAAATGTAGAAATATATGTACATATATGGCACACTGTCTAGCAGTTCATTTTGTAAACAACTGCAGGAAACACTATTTGCATTCTACAAACTCACATCTACAACCCCTAGTGAGCTAGATCCCCTACAATCAATATCTTAATTAGATAAAATTGTTCAACTTTTGCTGACTTTTTAAGAGAAGCTGAGCCCCTAAGGAAGAGATTGTTGGCCAGAAGATATGGGAAAACATTTTTTTCTTAATAAGGCTTTGGACAAATCGAGAAATTCATGAAGTTTCAAAAAACTAAAGGTAAAGGTCAGGCATTTAGGATTATTACTCAATACTCTAGACAACACACTGTTTAAAAAAATCTTACAAAAATGTTGTAATCTTTTGGGGGTGGGGGCCGACTTTAAGGTCAGACATTATATTGGAGACTCTGAAACTACATTTTAAAGGGCCACATCTCTAAAAGGTAAATTGTTTCACAGACACAACAAGGGCAATAAACATTTGAATGCTTACAAAGCAATGGGGACCGATACACGTGGGGATACCCTTACTGCAAATATACTGTTCAAAATACACAATTTATACATTCAAATGATAAACTATTACAACAGAGATTGCAAAACAACATATGTGATATACATGTATTTGCAGATGTTTGGCATAAACAAAGAGAGAATTGTGGCATAGGATATTCACACATTCAATGATTTAAATTAACTGATAACTGATAGGAGCAAAAAACATCAATGGAGATAAACAACATTAATTTTACCCCTTCTTTTTTAAATTTATTGTGTATAAGGTGGATTCATATAGTGCAGACAGCACTGGAACTTATAGATCCTCACAGCAATATTCATCAATTCATGTACCTATGACTTCCGTAGAAAGCAGAGGGGGGTAATGTCAGAGGTGTGTCCGGCCACTTCTAACCGGTTAGGGAGACAGAACAGGACTTGAGAAACGGAAAGGAAAGATGTGTGCAGCCAGCTGGGGAGACAGAGATTGAGAAGAGAGGATGAATGGGGAGATGAGAACAAGAAGATGTACTTCTATTGTTCTGGATTAACCATTTGCAGCCACATTACTCTGAAGAGGAAATGCCCAACACACAGAGACCAGAAGGCAATGGCTTAGGTGCTGGCTATCGCTCTCCCATAGGAACACTCTTAAATTGGGCTTCAGCCTGGGGTGAAACCAGAAAAAAATCACCACAATTTAAAAATCCCTGTTGGGGGGGATTTTTAAATTCTGGTGATAATTCTTCTAAAAAAAACCTTTAAAGAAAAAATTGCCATAGTGCATACTGTTCTCGGGGGATTTAGAGTATACATGCGCAGATATGTCCACGGCAAGTGATTGTATGCTATTTCCTACACTGGCTCCTTTGAACAGGTTTCAAATGATAAATACCATACCTGTACATATGCTTCATTCTTTGCTCCAATGGCATGGTGTATCAGCTTTTTCTGGCAAACCATTTTTTCATTGCGTAGTGAGCTTGTTACAATTATTTTCATTTACAAGTAAAATGTTGACATAAACTTTCCTTAGTGCACCTTAGCAGAACAGAGGGCACAAAATGACCATTATTTGGATGTTTTAATATACACAACAATCTAGGCCCACGCTGTATGCATTGAACATCACTGTATCATTTGCGAAAAAGGTTTAATGGCATAGCGTTTGCTATGCCATTGTGTTTACTATGCTGCTGCAAAATTAACAAAGAAAAACGTTTTTTGAACTGTAAAATGGGTTTATTTACATGTAGCTTTCAGATAAATAAATAGATAGATAAAACAGTCTAAAAATCATTGGCATATCATGCCTACTTTTCCAAAAGTGTAAAATTCAAGTTTTCAATGACAACCATTTAAAAAATACATTAAATATAAATACGTTCAGAGTTACAATTTATAAAGTTACATTGTTATAAATTAAATATGTATTATATATATTAAATATAACATAACGAATTAAATACCTAAATTCAGTGTACACATTGTAAAACTACATTAATGCATTCAAGGGAGAAATAAACTGGATCTTTGACACAATCCTAGGGAGATTATTATAGTGCTACAGTACATAGTATAGTGCAATTCACTTTGTTGTGTTTCCTAGGATAGTAGCCTCATTGTTCAGAACAGTGAATATTTCTTCTGTATAGCTTCCCTTCTCTCTGTGTTTATGGGACGTATTAAAGTATATCTAAATCCAACCCTTGTTTAGCTTTGGATAGAGTGTTGAGGGTTTAAAACACCTGTCATGCTTTTATATTTGTCTGTGTGCTGCTGTGGAGTTTTTAAGCTTGACCCTTTCGATGACCCTTAACAAAACGAGAGAAAATTTAAAGGTTTTGAGTTGTCACCAGAACAGAAATAGAGGGAAAATCTACCAATGGGGACACTTGTTGTGGTACCTAATGTCTATGATGGATTCCCCCTTCACTTTTGAGAGATTTGCTCTCACTTCCTTTTGGGTCTACAAACAGGAAGTGAAGAAAAATCAGCCCTAAGAAACACAGATGGCAAAAAACTGGCAGCGGTTTTAACCATTCCCTACTCTTTCCAAAGCTAAAAAAAAATGTTGGCATCAGTTATATTTTACTTGGCCGACACACATGACAATTTGTACTTTATTTGTGTAATGTCCTTTAAATGTACCAAAACAATTTAATGAGAAAGCCTTTCTAATCTGTCTGTTCAGATTCTAATAGCAGTCCTATCCTATTTTTTTTAACCGGGGGGGTATTGAAAAACTTCATAAGTATTCTTGGTAGGCTAAACATGGAATTAAATGTTTGTGATGTAAAAAAATATTTTTATAAATTATGAAAGATACAGAGAAGAGGTGGTGTGGTCTAGTTGGCTACTATGTGGAATTGTAAATTGGTTTCATGTTTAGGGCAGGAGCTGTCCTTACCTTTTTTTACGGTGCTTAAAAAGGCCTAAATATTCCTAAGGTTTAAAACTTATGGTGCATAAGGGCACCTTTAGTTGGATCCATTTAAACTCTCTGTCCCCTGAATGTAAACATAAGATTTTCTGTTAGGGGATGTTTTTGGCTTCAAAGGTGTCTTAGCATTCCATAGAATGTTTAAAACTAAAACAGTGCACAAATTCACACAGGTGCTTTGCTCCAAAGGGAACAATTGGTCTTAATCTAAGTAATAGCGCATTTTGGTCACTTTGATATCATCTTTAAATAAAGGTTTTATGAAAAAACAATGATCCTATCTTCTGTCCATACTGTTTGTGTTGAAAAATGTGGGAAAGTAACAGCAAAACGAGTCAGTGTGTTGTTAACGATCGTTTCCAAAGATTTGCTGGAATACAGAATATGACACTTCTTATTACGATGTGAGTAACCTAATAGAAGCACAGCTTCATTAGGATTGCAGCAACAGGCATTCCTGAATTATAAATATTGCAAAAGGTTTGTCCACTCCAGACCATTCCATTATGTCTGTGGATGAAATTAGTCTTGGTTCACATATATCTTAAACTGTTTTTTGGCAGTCTGTGATATAATCTAGGTGCTTCACGATGCTGTGTAATGATTTCTGAAGACGGTCAAGTGTCACCTTTTCCATGGTATAGGAGGCATTTTCATATTGTTCCTTTAAGTTCACCATTACGTTGGTTTGTCTGGGCTCTGTGACTATGCAACCCATAATTCGGTTGAGAAGCTGTAGCAGGCTGCGAAGGTTCTCTATGTCACTCAGCATTTGTTCTACATTTTCCATGGGGATATTGGCTAAAATCTTCTGGAATATTTCAAGAGTCTCATCCATCTTTTCTAAACTCTCCAATATCTGCTCATCTGGAATAAAATCCAAGCCACTGCTTTTCAAGCTGCTTGGGTAATTGAACTGTGGAAAAGTAAAAATTATTGTTAATTAATTTTTAAATGTTAGCTATACAACTTCTATCAACCCTCTACCTACATGCAATGGCATTCTTTTGTAAGTAGTGTCATAAATATAATTGAAAAACTTTATTTGTTAGTGCACAAGAATTAATAATTTTGTCTATTTTGGCCATTTAAATCCACAAAAAAAAAACTAAAAGACATAGCCACTGTACAATAAGAACAGTCCAGCTCTGATAAAGTACATTTAACAAGCTTCATTGTCTAAAGGCATACCTGTACGATATTATTAACTTAAAATGCCTAGTTCTATATCAATATTTTTCTTCTTATATTGTTCATGGTACTGGCTGCCAGTGGGCTGTTTTATACTTGGCTGTAAGTAGTGCCATACATACAGTAGATACTATATTGGCTTGGTTACCATGCCTCCTCCTTAAGCATCTTTTCCTGTTTTCTAGCTTTGGCATTATTTTCATTACCTTTGTATACCATTAAAGTTCAGTAATAATAGTATATGACCTTCATGGCTATTGTTAAAGCCCAACTCCAGCCAAGATGAAGTGTGGAAGTGCTGGAACTTCCATCAGGTTTCAGTTGCTGCCTGTGTCCCCTATAAAAAAGATTCTCTCCCACCTCCAGTTCTGTCTGACCCCTGTCCCCTGGACAGGAAGATAGGGTAAGGCCTTATTCACATGGCCATGGCCATGGTTTGAATTGATTTGTACAGGCACAGGAATACATTGATCTAGGCAGAGTATGACCATGAATGGCCATGTGAATGAGGCCTAAATCTTCCTAATGGGGGCACAGACTGCAATAAAATCCTGACCAAGATTTGAAACCTTCTGTACTCCACTCCGCCTTTATTGCGGTCTATGTCTCCATTGGGGGATTTCCCCTCATCAACCTGTTCTGTCTGGCACGTGTCAAATAAAAGAGAGTTTCCAAAATGGGACAAAACTTTGGCCAGAGTTGTGCTTTTTTTAGTCACGATATTAACAAATGTTCTACAGAAAAATATTAATTTCAAATTGATCAGCGTTTCAGCACAATAAATGTTGGACTGATATAGATATCTTGTCTGGCTTTATCTTACCTGGATTGGATGTTCCTGGATTCTGGTGGTGAGTATTCTTGAGAGTAGCTTTGCATCAGCCTTAACCCGGTCTGTTTTTAAAGAAAATCCATGGCACAGAGGAAGCCACATGAAGCTGAGTACACATAACGGTAGTACAATGTAGTACATTGTGTTTTTCTTTTACCCAATCCTATAATGAAACATGAGTTTAGTAAAAAAAATATAATGGATGCCATTTGTACATAAATGTATGCTGATTTCATAATTTAGTATTCTTTCTCTGGCCAAATGAGTTCTTTCTCTGGCCAAATGAGTTTGGAGTTAAAGTGACACTAAACCCAGGAGTTAAATCTTAGAAATGCATTCAAGTACCTTAACTATTACCAAAAATGTAGCGTATTTGTGTATCACTCAGCTGTAGGCCCTAAATCATCTCCGACACTGTCCTTACTTCTGGATGTTGGCTACTTTTGTTCCCCATGGTCCCTGGGTGTGTTTTAAGGTTGCTCGTGTGATGGACTACAATCTCATGTTCAGTTAGCTCATTTGTATTAAAGTTATAGTCCATCAGGGGAGGGAGCTTCCTTCCATCAGAAGGAAGCACAATGTCAGCATGAATTCAGAGATGATTTGAGGACCTACAGCCCAGTGATACACAAATAAGCAACATTTTTGTTAATAGTTTAAAAATGCACTTGAGTGCATTTTTAAAGGAAAACTATGGGGTCAGTGTTTTTCCCCATAGTTCTCCTTAGGGTAACGGGAGGACACAAACTAGCGTCCTCCCGTTACCCTAAGCTCAGTATACCGCGAGCTGTAGCTGTATACTGAGACGCCGCAGCCGGAGCGGATCCCGACTTAGATAATGGGATCTGCCCAGCTGCATGAGTGACAGCTGTCTCTGCCTATCTAGAGGCAGAGCCAGCTGTACCCGCCCCCTACCCCGTCCGTTCCGCCAGTCAGCGCTGGCAGATCAGAGCGGGGAGAGGGGAATCCAGCCCCTCCCCTGTCACGGCTCTCTACAGTGACAGGATCGAGAAGTGAGCGAGCGCCGATATGTGTTCGCTCACTTCCCGATCTACTGTCACAGGTCGGCTCAGATTATGAGGCTGAGTGAAAATCACTCATAATTCTTCTTTAAGGTTCCTTCCCCATACAGAAATATGAATTTGGCAACTTTTTTCCAAATCTAATCAAAATGATTCCTTTGTCAGAGTTGTACATGTGGCACTTTAACAGTAGAGCCCATGAACCTTCATGTTATACTGGCTGAGGATATCATCCTACTAACCACAGGAGTTTCCTACTCAGATATACTGTATTTACAGCCATGCAGTGCCCATGTGAACTGAAATTCACATCAGTTATGTGTCAAAAATCTAAACCTCTCAGTTTTATCGTCTCCATCAGCACACAGATCCTGTCATGGTGACTTTACTATACCTAATGTCAAATCTGCTAAAAACAGTAATCCCTCTATTCATGTAAGTATGCTTTGGTGCTTGTGTACTCAGTCATTTCCCCTTTGGGCAGGGCCTTACACAGATGAATTATATAAAGTACATAACAACTGGTTACTAAATACCAGTGTATCCTCAATTCACCTTCACTGTTTCATTTTCCATTTCTAAAGCATTCATTAATGTTTCCTTGATGACTCCATCAATGACAGCTTACTGAGAGTTAAATATGATTTTGTTTCTTCTACAGGAATTTTTAACATCAGTTTCCATGGTGAAAACAACCATCTTTATAATTTGTTATTTCAGCTAAAAGTGTTTGATTTAATCCATCATTAACTGCGGGATGATGGCGTCATAACAATCAATAAAATAAAATAATCAATAAACAAAATGATGATAAAAGTCCTAATACCTAGGGTCGGATTTTTTGAAGGCTGTATGTTTTACTACATTTTGTAATTGGAAAGCTAAAATGTGCAGTATTTTACACTGAGGCTGCTACATCATTTTAAAGCATTATAAATAGCGAAATAAGAGCATTAAATGTGGCATTTTTTCTTGTAAATGTCATAAAGTGTGCAGTAATAGCGTAAAGCCAGTAAGTAGGGTAGAAGGGAGTCATTTTATGCTAACTTCAAGGCCTAGAGGAAACTCACAGGGATAGAAATATTGCACTTGACTTTGCTGACTTTTTTTTGGAGCTGGACTCCAGTCACAAAGACCTTTCATTTACACATGTTCCCCAATAGTCAAAGATGGTACAAATCCACTTTGTGTCCATCAAACACCTTTGTAAACCCAGATATAACCATATATAAGTAGGGGTGTCATCATCACTGTGCTACACATGCCTTTGCATAGAGCAGAGCTGTGGGAGGGGCCCCACATTCTCCACCCACTACAGACTGTCTGCAAAGAACTAGACAAGGGGGTGGATACAAGACCATTCTTATATTTAGACAACATTTTGCTTTTGGAGTTCAGTTTTAAAAGTACAGGTTACAGACAGAGCTTAAGGGTAAGCAAAGGTAAGCAACCTCAGCACTTCAGCTGTGGTAAAACTACAACTCCTATTATGCATATACTGATAGGAGTCATCCTGGTGGCTCTCAGAGTCTTGCAATGCATCATGGGACTTCCACAGCAGCTGGGGTGTCGAGGTTGCCTACCCTTGTTATAGCTTAATTGCTTAGTATCTCACTGACCTGCAAAGAGCAGGCTGGACAGGAGTTTAGACTTTTTAGACTTTACTGGTCTTATGCCAATTTCAGGTCAGTGATTGACTTTATAGTAAAACCAACATTAGGATGACAGACACCAGTGGCAGGAGTTCAATCTTAAAAGTGGGTGGCTACTTTTGCTGTCCATGGTCCCTGTGTGTGTTGTAAAACATCCACCGCTCCAAGCCCACTTCTGTCATAGACTATAACTTCAATACAAATTGGTAAACTAAACATGAGATTGCAGTCCATCACGGGGGCGAGCTTGAAGTGGTGGCTACTTTACAACACACACAGGGACCATGAGGAACAAAAGTAGCCACCCTCCAGAAGGAAGGACAGTGTCAGCATAAATTCAGAGATGATTTGAAGATCTGCAGCTGAGTGATACACAAATAAGATACATTTTTTGTTAATAGTTAAAAGAGAACTATGTCCAAACCCTTTTTGTCCTTAGTTCTCTTTTTGGCCACAGAAACTGACCAAAAACTGAGCAAATAGCAGCCTCTGAGCATTGCCCTCTATATGCTGACAGCACAGAGCTGCAGATGGGAAAGATCCTGACAATATTTTCGAGATCTGCCCCACTACCTAATTGACAACTGGCTCTGCCTCTCTAATTCCAGAGCCAGCTGTGTGCCCCCTCTGTCAGCACTGGAGGAATGGAGAGGGGATGGGGGAATCCCTGCGGGAAGCGGTGAATGACAGTCACCGCTCTCTGCAGGGAGAAGATCGGGAACTCAGCATTCAGAAGTTTGTGGTCGCTCAGTTCTTGATTTATAGAGCCAATGTGTGACAGCTGACATGGCTCCTTGTGCTGCTTCTTTCTCCAAAGTCTGAGCTCTGCTGTACAGGGATTACGAGAGGCTGCTACCAAGCCAAAGTCTGGTACTTTCACTGCTAGCATTCAAAAATATATTTAATAATGTATTTTTAAATACAGATGTGCATTAATTGTGTATATTGTATTTGCCTGGAGTTCAGTTTTAGGGCAATTATTTTAGTAGTATTTTAAGATAAATGTGCATTATGCTAGTGAAACGTATGCAGATTGACATAAATTTAGGAAGTCCATTGACAACCCCCTTCTGAAAATGCTAGTTGCCTAGCTGTCTCTGGATTTAATACTTTAAAACTGATTTGGAACAAGTAAATCAGGAAAAGTCAGTGTAAAGTCAGAAGTAATCTGGATCCTTGTCAATGACTTAGAAAGTACTGAATCCACAGGGTCAGTATGACAGCCCAGTAACCAGCGTATATGCAAAAGGAGATGACAGCAATGACAGTCTTTCTACTTCCTCATCTTTACTACAGACTCATTTACCATTAATACACTTTTATATCATTTACAATATTAAATCCCACATTTCCTACACGTCAATATATATACTCTGGAGAGTAGCTTTTAAGTTTTACAATGAGAATCAGTATCAATGTAACATGTAGCTCATCTTTGATTCTTGGCTGCAAGATAGCTGACAGCAATAAAGATATGAACATCCTATTTAACATCCTATTTCTTATTGTTGGGTATTACCTTCTTATGATTAGTATACTTATGTGGATTGTTTTAATATGTTCTTGTGGTATACCGTGATTTCTCTGCATTTTTTGCTGCCTGTGGCTACTGGCTACATTATGAAATGAGTCAGGAATCTGAAGAATGACCTTATGAGTGCAGTTCTTTTTTGACTCTGACACGTCTGCCTGGACTGACTCACTAAATCTTTGCCTTCCCCTTTGCTGGGAAATGACAGCCTCTTTGCATTCATGCTTTTCTGAGTTTGCAGTGTGTTAATAGCTATCCTGTTATACTGAAAGTAACATGTGCCTCAAGGGAACAGAAAGGAACTGCCTATCAGAGAAGCTTTTGGAGAATGCGAACGATTTGGAAAATGACAGGGGTCTTTTCCCGAACTGGTCTTGGATCTTAGGAACACTCTGTTCACTCTTCTGCTATACAAATACACAATTTCTCATAATTGTGTGGAACCATTTCTTGTAATCATTCTACAGCAGAATATTCACTTTGGTGGAATATACGTCATTTCTGTTGTTTAATGTTGTTACTTTAATACTTTTCCAATTGATTCTTCTGTAGCCTCTTGAAGCTAGGAGTCAGTTTAAAGAACATGTCTTTCAGGTTTGACCAATATGTATGCTTTGTTATACTTATATACTCAATATTTTCACACTGGCCATGATCTCCCCTTAGGGACAAATTTATTGTATTGTTATGCAGGTTCTGGGGAGGTACATTGGTTTGTAGTAGCTGTTTTTGATGTTTACCATGACCCCTCCATTCAATCTACTCAGTACATAGTCCACACGTGACCATAGCAGTTACTGGGAACTTTTATTCCAATAATATTTCTATATTATTTGGACATTGGGGGTTTTCTGGTCAGCTATAAATTAGTCTTTGGATATACTGAATATTGTAAGGCTGAGTATGTGGGCAGATGTATTTGCTACATAATTTTACTTGTTTTTGCACATATTCTTTCCATACTATTTATTATCGGCTGATGCCTCAGTTAAGTAATATTTTTGACTTTTTGTATGATTTAAATGCTTTTAAATGACTCTATTAAATATTATTGTTTTATTCTGTCATTGGTAAAGCTTTTTTGTCCCCAGATCTCTTTTTGATTACACCTTTTGTCACTCTTCTAGTGAGTGGGTACAGAGATGTTTGAAACATTTTTTTGTCCTTGGCTATGGATAGTTACAAGGTTTGACAGTTGACATATTACACTATGCCATTTCCTAGAAAGATATGAAAAATAAACTAATGTTTGGCTTGCTGAAAGTGATTTAAGCTGTAACTGCTCTGGCTCTGGCTTTAAAAGGGAAATTAGTAATTCTTAGAAATGTGAGAGATTGGGAGAGTAGAACAGAACAATGAAGTGAATTAGATATAACCTGTAACATCAGCGCTCTCACCAAAGGAAATGTTTTTACGTTTTTAGGGGTTTTTTTTGTAATTTTTAATTTTTACCTATATAAAAATAGAAAGGCTGCTGTAGACAATGTTTACCCATTGACACCCTTTTTCAGTAAAGGTGTAAATAACCCAACAAAATGTTACTGGTTACAAAAAACATTCAACCATGTTTTCAGTATCCCTCCTAAGCCAAGCATAATCCAATATGAAAAGAAGTGTATTTTTTATTGTTTTTATTTTTTTTCCATCATTTTTTAAATATTTGTATTTATTTATTTTACTTTACTTGGGCATTTATTCTTTAACTTTTATAAATGGCACAAAAACGTAGTGGTGAAACAGGAAGATGATCACCTATACAGACGCTTAGGGGAGAGGGTCAAGTTTGACTTCAGTTCCTGAAGTTGGTGTTTGTATATTAGATTGCGCCAAGCTTCAGGGCTCCCGCTTTGCTCTGTAAGCTATTTACATATGCATGCATCCATGTATCTGTGGTTGGTTTACATTTTGCCACCTGGGCATACCCAGGACTTTCTGCCCATTATCTTACTCTGCAATCACAAAAGCAAAAGACACCCTAATGACATTCATGTGATAATGTATACTATCTCCAAGTGTGTGCATCGTTACTAGAAGAGATATATGCATATATATACTTGTTTGAATTCTTTTTAGGATTTTTCTTATGGTGAAGCAGTAAAGGGGTTCAACGAAAGTGACAGTGATCAGGTAACTGTTCAAGGAACTTAAAATTGCACTGGGATATTTTCTAGCTTGGTTTTCTATTTTGGGCCTGATCCTTTACTCATTTTCTCCTATACCACCATCACCATAAGGCTAAGAATCAAGAGACACCAAAAGCTCCGACAACTCACTCCATCTGCCATTCTCAGGTAAATATCTACCTAACTATGGCCACCTATAAGCATTTATTGGCAAAAACATAATCTCTATTAGTATGATTATACAAAACTCCCTATTGTTATCAATGTACAAAATGAATTCTACATTGCAACATAATGATAATGGATTAAATAGCCTATTAAAGCATCACCAAAAAAAAGAAGCATTTATACTTTTCTGATAGGACCAGAACTTTTTTACATAATATAAAAATTGCAATTGTTTAAGTCTAGAGTTACATGAAAGGAAAAGCCAAAATATCAAAAAATCAAGTCTCAGCTAGATCTGGAAGAGATGAATGGGCACACCTGAAGTCATATGACTCTTCTGACTAGAGTCATAGTTAGTAGCATATGAGGACGCAAACAAGCATTGTTCCTATATGAGTAATAAGAAGCACACCTGGAATTTGCAGCGCAGGATAGCGTACTTTTATAAGATAAACCGGGGAGTACAATTCTATAGGGAATTGGGGTTATGTTCCAGCATGAAAAAGAACAGGATGTAGGGACTGGACACAGTGGTCATCTTCTTAATAGTAAATCAAGGTATTGTGGCAAAATTACTTACTTATTAGTACCAGTTTGGTTCTATGACACTATAGTTTTGACTGTTATACTGTGTAAACTGATGTTAAAATACACCTTAACATAACATTCCACCTAGAAGTAATCAGCGGAATCACAACTGCATATTTACTAAGCCAATTATTTAGAAAAGCTAAACGTATCATCTCTGATGACTGGGATGACTTAATCTAAAGTCAATAGATATCTGTCTATCTACATTTTATCTATTCACATTATGCAGCATATTCAGTCCTATCAACCCACAATTAAAAGGAATAACTGTACACCAGCTCCATCACAAAGAATTCACACAGAAAAGCAGTGCCTTACCTTTACAAGTCAGCCTTAGTTTGAATGAAGTATGAGTGAAATCCCAATTTTTGCTGTCTTTATATAGGGCAGGCCACATTGCTTAATGATGATATTAGTCATCCAACAAGGAATGCTGTCACTTATTTTCGCTGTCTATGTCACTTCATTCAAGTTTATAGCTGTTTTATGACTGTTTACACAAGGATGATGTCACATACAAATGTAAGCTACATCAGGTTCAGTTTACTATGTATTCTGATATGATCACTTTGTGTTTTTGTGTGTGTTTGTGTGTATCTATCTATCTATCTATCTATCTATCTATCTATCTTGAGAGAGAGAGAGAGAGAGAGAGAGAGAGAGAGAGAGAGAGAGAAAGAGAGGGATACACACACAGTGACAACAAAAAGTATGTGAACTCTTGGAATTAACTGCTTTTCTGAAGTAATTTGCCATGAAATGTGATCTGATCCTCATAGAATGAGGGGAATTTATCAAATCTGGAGTAGACAAAATCTGGAGCAGCTTTGCAGAGCAACCAATCAGCTTCAATCTTTCATTTTCAAATCTTAATTGAACAAACTGAGGAGAGAAGCTGATTGGTTGCCATAGGCAACTGCTCCAGAATTTGTCTGCTCCAGTTTTTATAAACTCCCCTCAATGAATGTGCTTAAGCTGATAACACACAAACAATTCAATTTTTTTGTGTCTTTATTGAACACACTTATTAAGCATTTACAGTGCTGGAGGAAAAAGTAAGTGAACCCATGGAGTTAATAGGTGGTCGAACTTCAAGAAAGCAAGCAATGACCTCAAGCAAGCACTTTCGGTAGCTATGGAACTGCTTCAGCTCAGACACATATGTAGGATGTCTGGTGTGAATGGCTCTCTTGAGATCATTTCACAGCATCACTATGGGGTTAAGGTCTTTCATTGAAGTAATTAGGTGCCAAAGGAGGTTCGGCCACCTATTAACTCCATGGGTTCACTTACTATTTCCTGCAGCACTGTGAATGTTTAACGGGTGTGTTCACTAAAGACACGAGAAATTAGAATTGTTTGTGTGTTATCAGCTTAAGGCTGGGTTCACACCTAGGCGTATTGAATATGCGCGAAAAACACGCGTTTCCGAGGGCTACTTGGCTGTATCGCAATGGAAACACCCGACCAAAACGCCCCAAAGAAGTACATGTACTTCTTTGGGCGTAGGGCGGTTTCCCACGCGTTCATACTCACGGAAAACCGCCCAGATGGGAACCATACACATTGAAAATAATGGCATTTCCCTGTTTGAGCGTTTTTCCGCGAGTACGAAAGCGCGGAAAAACGCCCAGGTGTGAACCCAGCCTAAGCACACTGGGGGGAATTTATCAAAACTGGAGCAGACAAAATCTGGAGCAGTTGCCCAGGGCAACCAATCCGCTTCACTCTTCAGTTTGTTCAGTTAAACTTGATCAATCAGTCAGATTTCAAAATGAAAGAGAGAAGCTGATTGGTTGAGATGCACAGCTGCTCCAGATTTTGTCTGCTACCGTTTTGATAAATCCCCTTCATTGTGTTTGTCAATTCTTGTGCCTTAGATGAGAATCAGATCACATTTTATGCCAAATTGCCACTGTATAGATAGATAGATAGATAGATAGATAGATAGATAGATAGATAGATAGATAGATAGATAGATAGATAGATGTAGCAAAGGAAAAAAAGACACATTGGGGCTGATTTCCTGCATGGATTTATATATATATATATATAT